AGACACAACTCAGCCCATATCAAATTTCAACTATGACCAAGCCCTTTTGTGCTTCCTGGGCATGATCACTAATTTTTATGACATTATGCAAAATGGGTACTGTGACCCTCGTTATTCACATCAGGAAACTCTCATCATTCAAGCCAGGAAACTGAAGCTCAGTGGGGTTAAATGCCTGGACCCTAGTTATTAAATAGTGGAGCTGAAATCAGAACACAAGCCTGTTTGGCATCAAAGCTGCTGTTCTTTCCAGTACAGGAAGGAGGGAATAACTTGAGCCCAAGACCATCAAATTCATCCTCTTTCCAAGTTAGAGCTGCAATTGCTCTGCTCAGGAGAACAATGTCCTCCCGAGGACCACACTGAGCCCATGTCACAAGCTACTCAAGGGAACTTGCACAAGTGGCTCACAAGTCTGCTAAGCACCACCCTTTGGGCTGTTTTGTTCCCTTTGAAACAGAGCTGTTTCTGCTTCTGCTGCTCCTTTTCTGCCTGAAATTCTTTCTTTCTCCATTAGACATTAAAGTATTGCCCATCCTTCAGGATCTGGCTAGTGACCCTGGTCACTCCAAAGCTCATCCAAGGTCCCTCTATCCTCAATTCCTGTCATGTTTATCACGTGCACATTACAAATCATTTTGGCCAAAGGCCAACTTGGGGGCACATCTGACTCTGCTACCTCCTAGCTGTGTGGCCCAGGTAGGTTCTGTAACTTGTCTGGGTCTTTAATATTTTCTCATCTTTGGATTAGGATTAAAATGCCTACCTCACAGAGTTATTGGGAGAGATAAATAAATGAGTTGACATATTTATTGTACTTAACTCTGTGCCTGATATATAGTAGACATTTAATAAAAATGTGTCTTTCAAGCTTGCTTCCTTTTAGTTTATATTTCTTTAACCATATTTTTCATGTCTTCCCAAGATTAAGAGCTTCTCAGGGGCAAGGACCAGGAGTCATTTCAATTTGTGAATGCATAGCATAATTTTGGGCCAATAAAAAGTAGCCTGTATTCGTTGGTCCAGAAGTGCCAAACACATTTGACACTATTTGAGATATAGAAGACTAGCTCACAAAAGAGGATTTCAGGCAGAGAGCAGCATAAGCAGAGGCAGCCATCTCCATTTCAAAGGGAACAAAGCAGCCCAAAGGGTGCTGGTTACCAATCCCATGAGCCACTGGTGGCTTCTGTTATACATCTCATATAGTTTGTTGGATTGCATCAAAACTGTTATGTGGATCACCTCTGAGTCCATACTTCCATTCATCCATCCATTCATCCACTGCTAATTGACTACCTCTTAAATGCATCCCCCTGAAGATTCTGTTTCTACATAGTTTCTTTAGTAGAGAGAGAGCTATAGGTTGGTGATGGGAAGGACCAGGGGATGGTGATGGGAAGTGACACCAACTCTCAGCTCCCATCCCTCAGAAATTCTGATTTAATTGCTCTGGGATGATATTGAAACAAACAAAAGAAGAAACGCCCTAAGTATTGGTTCTAATGCACAGCCAGGGATAAAAACCACTGAAGCAGATGCTACACAAATAATCCAGGAAACTTCCTTCTAGGGTGGTGGTACCTGGCAAAGAGCTAGGAGTGTCCGTGTGCTGGCCTGGAGCTAGGAGCAGAGCCCTGGGCTGGAGGAAGAGGGAGGCACCAGACAGAGGCTGATCAAACATGGGCTCTCTTTCACCTCTTACCTACCTAGTTCCCAAGAGGAGAGATTGGACTCCCCAGGGAGAGGGGCCAAGGATTGCAGGAGAGCCCGGAAGGCAGAGCTGTGTAGAGCTTAGGAAATAAATCATTACCAGGGAGAATCCCACTCTTGCCCTATTTAGAAATAGCTTGGAGTCACAATTTGATGATGACCTCACAGATGTGATCATTTTGTGAACAGGCTTTGACAAACCCATTTACTCCTCTTCTTACTCCAAGTCTGGGTAGGTCAAGGCTGATGAAGTGTTTCCAAAAGAGCAGTTGATCTTAAGTACTGGCTGTTTCAAAGATTTGGGACAACTGTTTCCTGGCGTGTTTCAGGCCCATTTCACAATGACAGCTCCTGCAGGAGAATGTCCTTAGAGACTGCTCCAAGGAACCCAGACCCTCATCCTTCAATGCCGGCTGCTGAGAATCCTGACGACTATTCCTGGCATCTGATGTTAGGGTGCTTGACTGCCCTCTCCCTAACTCCAGGGACAGGAAAATAGAGTCAGAGGAGGCCAGGAAGTTGGTCATCACCATAGGGTTAGATCATATTTCCCAGTTTTTTCGAAGACACAGCCGGCTCACATAGGTTGGTGAGTTTTAGTACAGAATGTTCAGGATTTATCATTTTAAAAGAGAAAGAAATTGGGGGTGATATCAGATCATTTTCTCTCTCTTGCTGTTCATCTCTGTATCTCTTAGCAGTCATCTGTCCTTAACTCCAGGAATTTGGAATAAATAAGAACCTCTAGGGGATTTATGACTAAGGGTGCGCTACAAAAGACACATTGCCGTGGATGTGGGATAATGCTCTTTACTTTTCACTGGATAAATTTTGATTTTTGCCTCCATTAGCCAAGGGAAAGATTTTCTACTGCCTTTCTCACAGACAAGAATAGCTTTGAGCTGGAGGGTTAAGTAAGACATGTGCATCTTCAGGTTTCCCCCCACATGTCATAGCAATCTCAATAGCTGACCTGATCTTCAGCCGGTATCACTGTTCTAATTGGTCATGCCCATGACGTACTGGTTGTCACATATTTTGAAATTACCTCTCTCCCAAAGGAGTGGCATTCTCCTTGCAGGTGGCGAACCCCTCACCTTCACAGAGTGACTGATGACTGCACACAGAGGTCATCACTCTTCTGCATTCAGGGAACCCCACCCCACAGTGGGTTCTGCCTACTTCTCTATTTCTATTGACCTGTGATTTTGTTGTCACCAAATACTTCCTTTGAGTAAAGAATGTTGATTTAGAGCTGTCCTGGGGAAGGCTGGGGAAGATGGGGACAGTGGACAGTAGTGGATGGTGGCCTATTCAGTAGGACAAGATGTAGCCACTTAGGGACATTATAATTCTTGCTGATTCAACGAAAGGCCAACATTGGAGAATGGTGGAAAAATATGGAGTCAGCGAGGGTCCTTCTAATACCTGAGTCCCTCCATGGGTGTTGCAAATCAAGGGAGGTTCATTACCCATTCATGTACTAAGTCTCATCCCCTGATTAACTGCCTCAGTATGGAACCAGCCAATACTAAGTTGGGGTGTGAAAAACATTAAGTTGCTGCCTACATACTCCATTCATCCTGATAACGGTTGCTATCACCACACTGAACCAGCCTGCCCAATATCTACAGAAACCCACATTCTTTCAACGAGGGAGAAAAAAACCTCTGGTAGAGAACTGACAATGAGTTGCTATGATTTCCCATGAGCAGATGCATCTGATCTCAAATATCTGTTCCTGTAACCCAAATTGCAAAGCATTTTCCAAAAACCATCCAGTTGCAGAATTTTAAAAATGTATTTGATTGTCATGTTTGCCAATTGGGTCAGTTTACCAAGGCCTTATACTTCCCCCTTTTCGACTGGGGGAAAGGAAAAGGAGGCAGCTGGCAGCTGGTGATTGAAACACAATTCTCTCCGGCATGTAAGTGTTGGCAGTCATTCTTGTGTTATCTTGGCTACGGTCGCCTGGCACTCTCTGCAGTGCCTGGGCCAAGGACTGCCCTTCCTGATGGTTGCCCTCTGGATTCCACCAGCAGTCAGGGTGAAAACCACAGCAGACTGCGGCCCTGGAGCTCTTCATGGCTTTTAGTTGCCTTTGAGTCTCAGAAAAGTCTGTGAGAGCATTAGAGGTAATTATCTCCCTATGGCAGATGCAGGAACTGAGACTCAGATAACCAACTTATTCGAGGAAATACAGCTAGTTTATAGTAATTCTGGACTTTAATCCCTACCCATTTCTTAGTCCTGTGCTCTTTTCAGAACACATGGGCATAAGAAAGTCAGTAAGGAAAAGTTTCCACAAGGTGCTTTCTCCTGGTCCTCAGATCCATGAGGTTTGGGATTCTTCCATCTGATAGTCTACTTTTTAATTGCCATAGTAAGTAATCTGGTCACCTAAAAACTTTGTTTTCATTACCATCATTATAAAAAGATAGTTATCAAAAATCAATACATAGGCATAGGCCATGGACAATAGTTTGGGGAAGGTCTGGGAGGGGGCAGGAGTGAGATGGAGGGGGCGGTCACTACTTTTAACAATAAAGATAAATTTAAAAATGATAATAAAATAAAATTATAAGGAAGAGAACAAATAATAAAATGAAAGTAATAGAAAATTTGCAAGGGGCAACAAAAATCAATACACAGGATTGGGCAAATTATAATGTTAATATTCTACACTACATACTATGGGACTATAAAATACAACTTTAATTTTATGGTTTAAGTCTAAGATTTTCCATACTATGGGTCATGAAGTCAATTTAATAAAAAATTAAATTAAAAGAAAAAATAAGGATAGACTAAAATTGAAAATATTAGTGTTGCATGTAGCAAAGGTTAAATATCAATCTCTAATCCTTTTGTTCATATATTATGTATACTGAATCCCAAGGTTAAAATTATTTCGTACTATATAGTCTTTTCCTTTTTCTTATTTTCCCTCATTTTCCTTTCTCTTTTCTTGTTTTTTATCTCCCTCTTTCACAATGTATAAAGAAAACTTACCCCAAAGTCCATCACCTTTGTCCTATTTACAGGTACCATCGCCCATCCTCCCCAACCCTCATCCTGCCTCACATTTCCTCACCCAAGGGTCTGGAGCAGAGGCTGTTCTCAAGTGTAGATATGTCAACGCACCTCCTTTCTCTGCTGAAAATGTCCTTTTGTAGTGTGACCTTTGAGATAAAGTTTTTAAGTTCTCTCCATGTTTTATAAACACCTTGCTCTATCTCTAAACCACCACATTTCCATTTCAGGCAAAGCAACTCAAACTTGAAGCAATGAAACATCCAGGGAGAACCACACTGTGCTTTGTGATCCTTGTGATTTATTCTTTCCAAGTCACAGCGACCTGGAATATAGAACCTACTATTCATCCTTTGGTGAGTAAATCCATGTCTGCTGTATTTTTCCTTGTCACATTTTTCTGATATCCTGGGAATATCACAGATGGAAATGGCTTTAAAAATTTTTTTTAAGATCTTTGAGAAAATGGGGGTAGGAGAGGTAAACCTAAATGGACAGTAGTGTATCTATCTACTCATGGGTGACAACTTGTCTTGCTCTGAAATCCCCCAGTCTTCCCTTTTTAACAAAACTGCCACCACTAGGCCTGAAGCTGTACAAAAAGAGACATCTCCAATGCTAATGGAGATGCTGTGAAAATGACAACAGTGACTGTAAGGCAGATTTTGAGGATTGAAAAGAATGGGTGTTCTCAAAGGATTCATTTTAACTTGAGCATCAGACATTTCAAAAGATGTTCATTGTGTGTGATCATCACAGACGGGCATAGCTGAGAGGGCAGAGTTATCATCAAGCTTTTTGTGTGACAAATTATCCAGGTAGTTTTGTCGTTAGGAAGTTAATGGGAGTTTTTCTTGACTTAATAATAAGTGCTGTCTTATTATTATTTTTTTCTTTTGGACATTATTGGGTTATTCCTTCCTTAGCTTACTCCATGTACCAGAGACAGAGTAAGTTAGGGGCTATGAATCTTGGGAGATTAATGTAATTCTCTCTGTGTTTCAGCTTCTTCCACAATAAAACAATGATAATGGTGGCACTAATTTCCTATGACTGCTTGGAGAATTAAATTAATTAATATTTATAAGTTGCCTTAGAATAGTGTCTGACACACATTAAATACTGTAGCACCGTTTGCTATTATTATTTCTCCTACTATAATGTGTGTTTTTTTCATGTTGATTTTTAAAGAAGCTATTTTAGTGCTACTCTAGTCTGTCAGCATTGTTATGGCTTTATTGGTTGATTTTAGCATTGGAGATGTCTCTTTTTGCCATGCTTTTAATTCGTTATCCATCCTGTCTTTGTATTGTGTTCACCTGACCTTTGTCCTTTATTTTTTGTTTAACTTTTAATATATCACTTTACTTTACTAGTTCTTTTATAAACAACATGTGGTTGAGGCTTTTTTCCTCCCATTTAAATCAAATCTGAGTAAACCCGATTTTGATTGTGGTATATAATTTATTCATGTTAATGTCATATTTAAAATGCTTGGTCCTACTTTAAGGATTTTGTTTTATGACTTTATGTACTTCCTCTTTTCTGTTTTCATCATTTCACCTAGGTTTTCTTTGTCTGTTTTTTTTTTTTATGTCTTTAATGACTTGGGCGGTATATTTTGTGTGCAGAGTGTGACCCTGATGATTTTGTGCAGCAGTGTGCACATATATGGTACAGAGGGAGATGCTTACATTTCCTGTGGATTCACAGGGTCAGTGCAGAACTCTAGTTACCCCAGGCAAGTGGAGAGCCAAAGGGTGAGGGGATCACAGTCATGGGGTTAGCTTTTCCTCGGCTCCAGGGTCCTAGTGCCCTCCCATTGTGCCAGGTTGGCCCTCAGTGCAGAGGCCCTAACAAAGCCTCTCCATCTGCCTGGTAGCACAGGCTGTCAGGGCATAAGCCTCTGATCTCCAAGAGCTGCTAGTAGAATTTGAACTTGATCTTCCTGGAAGGTCCCCTCCTTTCAAAAGCCCTTCCCACCCATTTTCCACTAGATCTGCATTCAAGATATAATATCTTCATACAGCCCAAAGACCAAAGACCCCCATAGGCGAGGTACACTTGTACCTCTTATCAGCTTACACTGCTCTAAGCTGCCACCCAGCTTCCATGGCTGGCCTTCTATCATGGTAAATGCATAGTGATGAGCTTTAAAAAAAACAATTATAGCTTTTGAAATAAAATTCACCAATTTGACAATTGTTAAGTGTGTAGTTCAGTACTGTTACATATACTCACATGGACATGCAATCAATCTGAAGAACTTTTTCATCTTGCAAAACTGAAGATCTATACCTTATACATGGCAGCTCCCCATTGTCCCCTCCCCTCAGCGCCTGGCAACCACTATTCTACTTCCTGTCTATAATTTTGACTATTCTAAGCACTTCCTGTAAGTGGAATTGCACAGTATTTGTCTTTTGGTGACTGGCTTATTTCACCTAGCATAATGTCCTAAAAATATATCTATGTGATTACATGCATCAGAATTTCTTTCCTTTCTTAAGACCGAATAATTGATCCACTCCCAACTGTGGCCTCAGCCCTGAATCTGAAGCCCAACTCAGACCCTCATTAGCTTTGGAAAGAGTCACCTTTCTTTATCTCCCTTAACCTGTTTCCCCTACATAACATGAGAATAAATAGTATCTCCTCATCAGTGGGTTGGGGGGATTAAATGTCGCACACATGTATGCCTTAGCACAGTGATAAACAGAGCAAGTACTTAAGATTTAGTAGTTATTTTTACTATTCTAGTACAAATAAGCCTGTGTTAATTAATATGCTTGTGCGAGGAGACATTCCAACAGAATCCTGGTTAAGATAGTTATTTAATACTATGTCTGGGTGCACAGATTCATGCACATTGAAAGGAAATTAATTAGAAGGTGGCCAGAGGGGCAGGACTGGCCCAGACGGGCCAGACACTCACTGGAGCCAACCTTCCACGGTCCCTCCCTGGCCAGCCATACCTGGGGTGTTCTGTGGCTCAGCTCGAAGGTCGTCTGCTGAGTGAGTGGGGTCCCTCTAGAAGGTGAGGTCTCTTGGCCTGGCCTGGGGGGTTAAGGCCAAAACTGGCTCTCTGACATCCCCATGGGGTCCCAGATTGTGAGAGGGTGGTTCTTGGGTGACACACCCTGGAATAGGGTTCCTTCCTCTCTGGTTCTGGGTGTGTCACCCAAGAACCGCAGCTGCCAAGTCACTGCAGCTCAACAGCTCCTGCGTTGAGTGTCTGCCCCCTGGTGTCAGTGCACATCATAGCTACTGGTCAGACAGTCACTTAGCAATATATATATATATATATATATATATATATATATATATATATATAACTAAGTGAATATATATATATATATATATATATATATATATATATATGCAAAGATCTTAAATCTGGGATTCCAGGTCAAGTCAAAAAGGAGTGAGGAACAGGGCCTTGACAAGGAGAAGAGAGATCTGTCTAAAGCAGTGACCTTTGAGGACCCCTTATCATCAGGTTCCATGGGAATTTTCTTTCTGCACATAAATTTCACCTCTTATTCCTGAATGACTGTCTACACCCTCTTCAGGCACTGCCCCACCTCCGTGGTTGTTTGTAAAGTCATGCGGAATAGGTGGGGTGTTTCCTGGAATCACTGACCTCGTGTCTGCTGGCTGAAGACCAGGAGATCCCCCTGGAGGAGCTGGCCAGTGTTGCTCAGACACTCCTCTGGGTACTTCTAGGAGGGCAAGCTGAGGGAGGCCAGGTTGGAGGCTCTGTTATGGCTTCCAAAGTAAACATTCATCTCAGCAGTGGGAGCCCCTGGCAGGATCTATGAGTCCTCGGCACCCAAAGTTCTGGAGTCTCAGAGGTCCTAGAACTAGAGTGACATGAGCACTCAGGAGGACAAAGTTGCCCCCATCCCTCATGAGCCCCAGCCAGCTGGACACACGGACACACACCACAGCTAGAGATTTCACACGCATCTGGTGTGCCCCAGCCCAAGGTCTTCCACAGCGTAAGAAGCCGAGGCTTAGAGTGAGCACGGCTTTTCCCACCAGGAAGAGCAGCGGTGGTGGGATTCCGTTCCTGGTGAGATTCCAGCATCTGCCTCATTGAAGCCCAGGCCCCGAGACCTGGCAGCCAGTCCTCTGCTCCTTCTCAAACCTGGGAGAGCGACCACTACCACAGGGGAGCTCCTGGGCGGTTTTATTGCTTTCAGTATGTTTTCCCAGTTCCTTCCAATGATTGCAGGGCTCACAATAAAATGTAGGCTATTCTGACAAAACGTTGTGAATCCTCATTGGACAGTAGAGAGGCAGGAGGTGACAGAGCTGTGGGAGCAGCACTTTGCAAACATGTTCCCTGAAAGTTCCCGATCATTACCACAGACTCAGGAGCGAATTCAGAAGCAGCGTTTCTCAAAGGGTGGCCTCGCTGAAGGGGATAGGCGGTGAAAAAGGCAGGTTTTTTCACACACACACACACACACACACACACACACACACACACACACACACACACCTGCTAAATCAGATGGCAGAGAGCAGAGGCAAGTTACCCTTGTGCTCACAAAGGTTACAAATTCTTTGCATGAGAGCTTTGAAATGTATTTTCGTTTTAGCAGAAGGCTGCCAGCACCAATCTTTAACCCCACTGGGCAATGAAAAAATAACATCTCCACCGGGACAGCTGACCAAAGGTCACTGCCAGTGGCCACCTTCTCTCGGGTTGAGTCTCCCAACCGCAGCCCATGAAGTGTGGATCGAGAGAGCCTCTGATGGCCCCCACACCCCATGCCCATGGCCAGGCCCCAGGGAGGAGGGAGGCAGGAATGCAGCGGAAGACCCTTCCCCTCCGCCTGGGCACAGGGCCAATGCAGGCTCCAGGGGAAGCCGGCAGGAATCAGCCCTGGGTGTGGACGCTCCTCCTTCTCGGGCTGGCTCCTCATATTCAGTGCCGAGGAAATAACCTCACCAAAGGAGTATCTGGGCTTCTAAAATTCCAGCTGTCTCCCATCACTGCTCTAGTCACTCTTCAAGAGCATTTATGAACTGTCAGGTATAGGTTCTCCCCAGCACCCATGGATGTTAACACTCGTCCTCAGAAAGAAAGGGGATGGGAAGAGGCTGTAGAGAAAAAGATGCAAGGAAAAGACAGCGGGTCCCTGAGACAAACCAACTGTTTTGTGGAGAATCTCCTGATTAAGTGATGCTTATGTGGACAGCTGCAGACTTGGAGTCAGGCTAGCTGGGTTCAAACTCTGACTCTGCTATTTAAGGGCTTTGTGACCTTCACCAAGTTATTGACCTCTCTGTGCCTGTGTTGTCTCATCAGTGAAATGTGGGGCGTGGCAGTACCAGAGGCTGTCGAGAATTAAATAAGTCAGCATACGACTGCTTAATAGTGTCTGGCATGGGGTGTGGAACCTATCTTAGGAATTAGTACTTTTGTTACCATTCTGATGTGAGATAACTAGAAAATAACAGTAGACAACGCAGTTAGCAGAATGAGCTCTGTCTCAGGTGAGGTTCCTAGGTGTGTAGTGTTCACAGGAAAGGACACACCTCTGTGGGCAGGAGTTGTCTGGGGGACCTTATAAAGGCAGGACTCTTTTATGGACTTTAAAGTGGATTGGAAGAGCATCCACAAGGAAATTCCCCTGGAGGCAGGGGTGAGCTACGAGACCTGTTTCAGGTCAAGGTGTGGTGACCAGCTGTGGAGCTGGCATTGATCCCAACAGGAAAGCCAATCAATGTCAGTTCTTAAACCAGAAGCCGCATGATGACAGGAGATGAGCTTTACAGAGACGCAGCAAGAGGCAGCGTGCAGAAGGAGAGATCCGTGGTCCAAGGGAAAGGTGCCCCCAGAACAAAGTGAATCCCTGTCTCAGAATAGCATTTGCTATGTCACCAAAACCTGTTTCAGTGCTGTCGATCTATTAAGCATTTGACAATCTCCTGATGCAAGCTATTTTTATCCCCATATTATAGGTGAGTACTTTTATCCCTATATTACAGGTGAGGCATAGAGAGGTTAAGTAACTTGCCCAAGGTCACACAGCCATTTTATGGCAGGGCTCAGATTTGAGGTCAATGTCTACAGAGTCCTTATGTTTTTAACTAGTGTGCTTTGTCATGTAATTAACATTTATTAAGCACTTATTGTGTGCCATAGTATAGTTCACTTAATTCTCATAACAATTCTATAAGGTCAGTACCATAGTTATTCTGTTTTACAGAAAAGAAAACTGAGGCTCAGGGAGGGCAAATAAGTTCCTCAAAGTCACAAATAAATTCCTCAAGCTCACATAGCTAGTCAGTGGCAAGGCTTTGTACCCAGGCACTCTGACTCTGGAGCTTGCTTTTGGAGCCCTGCCACAGAAAGTGACCATCGGGAGAAAAAGGAGCCAGTAGGGAGAGAATAACTCCTAAGCATGGATGACCCAAATGGCCCTAATGCTGCAGTAATACTCCGTGGGGACAGGCGGAGTGCCAGGAAGAGGCCGTGAGACTTGTCAAAAAGGCCAAAGGAATGAGTCAGGGTTCCAGGCCTGGGCAAGTAGTACAAGTTGGGAACACCACGATTTATATTTCTTGACAGGACCCAAACTGCAGAACACTGAAAAACTCAAACTCGGTAATGTCTTCCGCTCCTGGAGCTAGAGACTGGTCTATAGAAAGTGAATCCCCAGGTCACAGTACAGACTTGAGTCCATGGCGTTTTCCCGACCCCTGAGTTGCTGTTCGCCCCGTACTCACTCACTGGGCACAAGGTGCTCACCTCGAATCTGCAGCTCATACTCAGCTCTAACACATGGGGCATGGGAGCAGAAGGCCGTAGTGGAAAGACGTCTCTACCACTAATTGACGATTTTCTAAAATGCTCTTTCAGAGTCTTCAGGAGCGTGAACTAGCAGAGGAGGAGCCACTGAGGCAGAAACGAGCGGGTATGTGAACTCTTTCTTGTCAATCAATTCTAGTGAGTCCATTAAATGATATTGGCTCTAACTTTTCCAAACAGTGTGATCTACAATTTATTCTCAATAACTAGAAGTAATTACAAAAAAAACAAAAAAGCAAACAAACAAAAAAAAATTCCTTTCTTGCCAAAACTGGTTTGGCTCAGTGGATAGAGTGTTAGCCTGCGGACTGAAAGGTCCTGGGTTCAATTCCTGTCAAGGGCATGTACCTTGGCTATGGGCACATCCCCAGTGGGGGGTGTACAGGAGGCAGCTGATCAATGTTTCTCTCTCATCGATGTTTCTAACTTTCTATCCCTCTCCTTCCCTCTTTGTAAAAAATCAATAAAATATATTTTTTTAAACCTCCATTCTCTACCAAATGGCATTAAAGGAATCTTGGCAACATTTCGATGCCCCTTCCTCCTCCCACCGCCTGTGCCCATCTCCCCAGCTGCCCTCCATCTCCAAAAGCCTGCTTCTTCACTCTCAACCTTGCAGCCTTTCCTTTTGCCTTTAAAAAAAGTTTTTTTTATTTAAACCTCTTTGACTCTCACTTATCACTTTATTTTCTGGATTCACTTAACCACTAGACTCAAGTCCTTCTCCTCTGTCTCCCACTCTAATTTTTTCACTAAATTTCAAAAGCTGGTCTGGAAAATAGAGGGCTCTGTCCCTTGCAGGGTTGAGAGCAGTGAGAGCTGCAAACACCTACATGTACATGATCCTTGGGGCCATGCCCTACCTGCAGGACCTAGGCGGGTGTCAGTGTATATCTGCAGGCTGGTTTTTCCTCTAACCAGATTCTCCTACTTTTCTCATTGGAACCTTTCAAAAGCATCATTTTGACACTTCTTTCCATGCATAAAATTCTTCATGGGCTCCCAATTGAAGATAAAATCCAATTACCTGCTTGAATCCTACTGGAGGGACCCTGCCTGCCTTTCCCACACGTTCTATTCCTGTTCCCTTTCACCAGCCAGTGCCCTGCCCACCCCTTCTCTTCCCCGTCCCCCCCTTGCTTGTCCAAGGGACTCTGACTTAAGTCTCAATTCACAGAGGTTCCTGCCATGTAAGGTCTTCCATCAAGTCCCAGACAGGGTGGGGCTGCTTTCTGGATTCCCACTGCCCTTGATACCTTCCCGTAGCACAACAGTGTCCCAGTGCTTTGTCATTCTGCTTCCTGTTTGTCATCCCTAGTAGACAAGAGTGCCCCTGAACTCTGAGAAACTCAAACACGGGGATGTCTTCCGCTCCGTCTCTGTATAGCTGCCCCTGTGTGAGTTCAGAGGATCCGTTCCTATTGTTGAGTCTGCCGGCCTGTGGTGTGTAGAAGGCGGAACTTCTTACCTTCAGCATTGTGAGGGGATAATTTCCCAGACGTGCTGTAACTGGCTCTGCTCAGTCTCCTGGTTTGAAAGACTGGCTGGGCTGCAGAAAGGAGGAAGCTTGTCAGAGGTCAGGTGGAGGTGTCTGTTAGAGCCCTCACAGCGCAGCAGCCAGACCCCACTGCTGTGAAACTAGAACTTGACCACATTTTACCAAGCTCTTAAAACCCTCATTGGAAGGTCATGCCGATAACTTTCTTTTCCTTCCCTTATTTTTCTTTTATTTTCTCTTCTCTTTCTGCTTGTTTTAGCCTCGTGTCCTTTCCCTATGGGATCCCCACTCCCCCTCCATGCCCTCCTTGCTTGAAGAGGTCTGCAGCGCAGATGGTACTTTCTGTGTTTTAAAAAGAGTATCATTATGGCTCTAGCCCGTTAGGCTCAGTGGATAGAGCATGGGTCCCAGGTTTGATTCTGGTCAAAGGCATGTACCGCCTTTGCAGACTTGATCCCTAGCCCTGGTTCAGGCATGTGCAGGAGACAACCAATCGATATCTCTCTCTCTCATCAATGTTTCTCTCTCTGTCTCTCCCCCTCCCTTCCACTCTCTCTACAAGTCAATGGAAAAATAGCCTCAGGTGAGGATTAACGAAAAATTAAAATGAAAAAAAAATAGTAAAATAAAAAGAGCATCGTTATGTCTACCCCCGCTTCCTGCCCCCTGTGACAGGCCCAGGGCCACAGGTGCCCCATGCAGCGCTTTGAAAGACTCTTCTTTTTAAAATCAAACTATTGGAGGGTGACTTCTAGCTCCAGGTTCCTGCCAGCTTCTTCTAGGTCTTGGCTTCCCGCTTCCCCAGGGGCAGTGGGGGACCCACAGCTGCAAAAGTAACATCTTCCTGCACTTCCTGTGGCTGTTCGTGACCCATGGCAACGGCACGAGAGGTTAGCCCTTGGGGAGGAAACTGCTTCCACATCTAAAGGTTTGACATTCCACAATTTTTCCAGACGTGCTTTCAGTAAAAACTCTCATGATGATGATAAATCACCATGAAAACCTCTTTTCCTTTATTACATGTGGTTCTCTGTGCTCTCACGCCTCCAGAGTCCTTTGGGATTTGTTAATCACTCAACTAGCCATTTGCAGGAGATGGATTGGCTTCGGTACTTTTACTAAATTACTGAAATAAGAAATGGCCATGGAGCCCTGGCCGGTTTGACTCAGTGGATAGAGTGTCAGCCCGCTGACTGAAGGGTCTCAGGTTCCATTCCTGGTCAACGGCATGTATCTTGGTTGCAGGCTCCTATCGATGTTTTTCTCTGTCTCTCCCCCTCCTGCCACTCTCTCTAAAAATCAATGGGAAAAATATTCTAGGGTGAGGATTAACAGAAAAGAGGAAGGAAGGAAGGAAGGAAGGAAGGAAGGAAGGAAGGAAGGAAGGAAGGAAGGAAGGAAGGAAGGAAGAAAAGAAGGAAAGAAGGAAGAGCCATGGAGAGGCCCAGGCACAATGCAACAGATGCTTGAAATGTGAGTTGCAATTAAGAGTGTGACTATGAGAGAAAGCAATAGGAGGGTTACATGCAGCACATGCCACACGGAGGTGTTGGTTCTGCTTGCTGTGGGAAGTTAGTGGGCTGAAAGCACTACGCTCCAATTCTCAGAGTGGTACTCTCCTTCATGTATACACTCAGCACCCTTTCTGGAGCCTTAATGCCAGAAAGACTGAAACAATGGTTCTGAGAGAAAGAAAATTCTCAAAAGAAATTTTCTTTTGAGACACTGGATGAAGTTTTTAGAGCTTGGGATAGAATTGTCTTTAAAGATTGGATCAATACTAATATTTACTCTGAGAACACTGTGGACTTTTCCCTGTCATTTTGTTCTGTTATATAACTTCTTGAGCCCTTGATATATATTTATATCACACATATACACACATACACACACACCGCACACATGCACACACACACACACACACATCACATCACATCTATCACACAAAACCACATATATACATAGAAATAGATATGTATACCTTCTAATGTATTACATAATAGTACTATATGTATCACATATGTATTATATATATCACACACACATATGTTATCTATATATATAAGCCTAATATGCTAAGTGTCTGACTATTCAACCATTCAACCAGTTGCTATGATGTATATTGACCACCAGAGGGCAGACACTTCAACCAGTAGGTAAGCTTGCTGCTGGGGTCTGGCCAATCAGGACTGAGAGAGATGGCCTGGACATACCCTGGAGCCAAATTCCCATGGTCCCTCTCTGACCTCTAAAATAGTTCTTCTAATTAATTTCCTTTCAATGTGCACAAATTCTTGCACTGGGCCTCTAGGATATATTATATTATATTATATTATATTATATTATATTATATTATATTATATTATATTATATTATATTATATTATATTATACTAGAGGCCCAGTGCATGGAATTCATGCATGGGGATGTGTGTCCAGCCTCACCTGCACCCTCTCCAATCTGGGACCCTTCAGGGGATGTTCAACTGCCGGGCCTAAACGGGCAGTCGGACATCCCTCTCACAATCCTGGACTACTGGCTCCCAACTGCTTGCCCCCTGCCTGATTGCTCCTAACCGTTTCTGCCTGTCAGCATGATAACCCCCTAACCACTTCCCTGCCAGCCTGATTGATGCCTAACTGCTCTCCTGCTGACCTGATTGTTCCCAACTTTCCTCCCCTGCATATTCCCTCTTTATTAGATAGGGTTTTTTTCTTTAACATATTGGACAGCCCTAACTGTTTGAATCAGTGGATGGAGCAATGGCCTGCATACTTAAGGGTCCCAGGTTCGATTCCAGTCAAGGCCATGTACATTGGTTGGGGGCACATACTCAGGGGGGACAATGCAGAAGGCAGCTGATTGATGTTTCTCTCTCATAGATGTTTCTAGCTCTCTATCCTTTTCCCTTCCTCTCTGTAAAACATCAATAAAATATATATGTAAAAACGAAACATTTAAGATTCCTCCATATCTGCCTGGCTGGTGTGACTCAGTGTCTAAGAACCCAGGCTGGGCCTGGAGGGGATCTCTGCGTGGGTGCTGGCACTGCTGACGGCCTGAGACCCCAGGCTGGGGGCATGGACCCAAACCACTACTTGGTGCTGGAGCATTCCCAAGTGGCTGCATTCCTGTCCCACCCCAGCCACTTGGTGCTTGCACTCATAAGCTCCGAGCAGCCTGGGTCCAGAAGATGTTCCCGTTGCCTGGGAAACCCAAGCCTCTCTCCTGCTCTCTGTGGCCATAGCCATCTTGGTTGGGTTTATTTGCATACTCACTCTGATTGGCTGGTGGGTAGAGTAATAGTTAATTTGCATAGTACTCTTTTATTAGGTAAGATTATATTATTATATTATATTATATTATATTATATTATATTATATTATGTTATGTTATGTTATGTTATGTTAATTATATTATATTATATTATATTATATTATATTATATTATATTATATTATATTATATTATATTATATCATATTATATTATATTATTATACTAGTTGCCCCTTGCAGGAAGATTCTTGCAATAGGCCTTCCTTCTGTGGTCACTGCCCCACCTGCTTTCCTCCCTTCTCCCTACCCCCTGCTTTCCTCCCTTCTCCCTG